GGCGACAGGAGGGACGTACGCTGGCGCCCGGGGAGGAGAGGCAGCCCTGGCGCTCTGCTCCGGCCGTGTCGCTCCCTCTCGTCCTCCCTGTTTGTCCACACGCTGCGTCAGCCCCACACCCCGCTTCTTCCACCTCCTGCAGCTGGAGTCCAGGACGCCTCTCCTGGCCTGTTGCCACCCATCAAAGCCCAGTCCTCCGTGGAGCGCTCGGAAGAGGTGTCCCACTCCCGTCTCCTTCCCGGGCTGCTCACCTCCACCCGCTCGTAGGCAGGGCCAGAGCCCCCCAGCCCGCCGGGCTCAGCACGCCGTCCCCAGCAGACCAGAGAGCTGCGACCGGCCCTGCGAGCACTCACCGTTGCGGCTGGCCGCTAGTCCATGGCGGTTGGACTTGTTCCACAGCCCAGCCCGTGCCCAGCCGTCTGGGGTGCATCACGGCTTGTTCCCCCTGCGTGGAGCTTTCACAGTGACCTGCACCCCTTGCCCGTCCTGGGGCTCCTCGGGCGGTGCCGGGCACGGGGATGTCCATCCTCGCCCTCGGGGCAGCAGCTGGAAGCACGCGGTGCGACCTGCAAGGCAAATTGCAGCGAGCTAATGGCAGCTGCACAGCGAGGACCCGATGCTGTTGCTCTTGGTGACAACGTCAGCGCCGAGCGTGAACACCACCAGTGCTCTGCATACAGATGCGGCGAGAAGCCTGAAATATTTCACCATGCCCTGACGTCACCCCTGAACACCCTTCTCGGCCGGCATCTTCTCGCTCACCGTTTTACATCGCCAGCGTTTGGAAAGCAGCCGCTCCCACCAGCGTTACGGAGACTGAAAAGCTGCATTCGCTCCTCTCTCCTGACGTTGCTGCAGGACCGATCCGAAGAACAAATCTCCCTCCTGTTTATCACCGAGCCGGTAACAGCCAGCCCTTCCCTTTACAGCCCCTTCCCAACACCGGCTTTGTTCCTTACCTGCTGAAGCCTTTCTCCACCTGCCCAAGGAAGTTTTTCGCCTCCAGCTAAACGCAAACCATATTTCGTGGCTGTGCAGGTCGCCAGCAGAAACAGCTTCCGTTGACCAACCCATTCCTAGGCCTGGTGCCATGAAACAGAAATCTTGAAAGAGGAATGAGGTGTAACTCTGATGGTCCAAAGTCTCCCCGCCTGCGTAGCCCCCTTCGTTTCCCCGGACTGCTAACAAATGGCAACATTCCAAACAGCATCAGTGATCTCCTTGAGGAAAAATGCCCTCAGACACCGGTGGTTTTGCCAGCAATCACCATCGGCCTCCTGAGCACTCTTGCCTGGCACAGGATTTGGTTACAGGAGTGAGCTGCAGAGGGGGAGGAGGACACGCCTGCTCTTATCCGCCATAGGAAACATGGAATCATAGAATCATTTTGGTTGGAAAAGACCCTTAAGATCCTTGCATCCAACTGTTAACCTAACACGGCCATGTCCACCACTAAACCACGTCCCCAAGTGCCATATCTACACATCTT